TTCACATGGACATGTAACCTTCTCAGCTATGTAAACTTCATTAAAAATAAAATTTAAAAAAAGAGTTCTTCACAGAGCCTCCATTGTACCTAGAAAAAGGACACTGACTCTTTGAAGCTCCCTCCCCTGACCAGATTTTCCCAAAGGGGGCAGGTGTTTGGTTCAATGTTTAAGTCCCAAGTAACCCATACTGGAGGTCCTGGGTACCAGGCTCATGCCTGCTCCTGATCCAGCTTCCTGCTATATATATCCTGAGAAGGAGTAGGTGGTGGCTGAAGTCCCTGCTACCCACATGAAAGATGCAGATTGACTTCTGGGATCCTGGTTGCTATGGCTGTTTGGGAAGTGAACCAACAGATGGAAGATCTCCTTCTCTCTCTGTCCTTGTTTCCGGCTTTGACTGTCTTTTTTTTTTTTTTAAGATTTATTTTTATTGCAAAGTCAGATACACAAAGAGGATGAGAGACAAAAAGGAAGATCTTTCGTCCAGTGAATTACTCCCCAAGTGACTGCAACAGCCAGAGCTGAGCCAATCCGAAGCCAGGAGCCAGGAACCTCCTCCAGGTCTCCCATGCAGGTGCAGGGTCCCACGGCTTTGGGCCATCCTCGACTGCTTTCCCAGGCCACAAGCAGGGAGCTGGATGGGAAGTGGAGCTGCCAGGATTAAAACTGGCACCCATATGGGATTCCAGTGCATTCAAGGAAAGGACTTAATCACTGTATCAGGGCACCAGGCCCCTGACTGTCTTTTAAGTAAAAGGAAAAATTAAAAAAAAACAACAACAACAAAAAAAAAGCCTTCCAAGATGTGTCTATAATCAATTTCCATTGTCTTTTCTAACTTCTAAATCCACTCCAATCAGATCTTCCTCTCACTGCTTCATCAAAACAGCAATGGCCAAAATTCTCAGTAACTTCTACACTGCCAAATCTGAAAGACAAATCTCTTATTTGGCTGCTATCTTTTGTAACACTTTCTTCACTTGCTACTTCCAAGTGAAGCCACCTGCTTTCTTGGTTCTGCTCATTCCTTCTTTGTTAAGTTTTTCCTCTATCTTACCGATATTGAAACTTGGAACAGCTGGGGATGATTCCACAGGCCTCTGCCCTAGCTGCACACATTCACTCCTTGGTGTTCTCCTACAGTCCGTGACTTTAAATACCACCTATAATCCACTACCTTTCCAAGCCCATATATCTAGCTGTCTTAGCCCATTTCTGCTTTTTTTTTTTCAAAAAGATTTATTTATTTTTATTGGAAAGTCAGATACAGAGAGGAGGAGAGACAGAGAGGAAGACCTTCCGTCCGATGGTTCACTCCCCAAGTGACCAACAACAGAAGGTGCTGCGCCAATCTGAAGCCATGAGCCAGGAGCCTCCTCTGGGTCTCCCACACGGGTGCAAGGTCCCAAAGCTTTGAGCTGTTCTCAACTGCTTTCCCAGGCCACAAGCAGGAAGCTGGATGGGAAGCAGGGCTGCCAGGATTAGAACCAGTGCCCATATGGGATCCCGGCGTGGTCAAGGTGAGGACTTTAACTACTAGGCTATCACACCGGGCCCCATTTCTGCTGTTTTAAAGGAAGCACCACATTTTGACACTGATACAGTCAAGACACTGAATATGTTCACAATTCTACCACCACAGGAACCCTCATACTGCACTTACAGTCATGTCCACTTTCCTCCAACTCCAATACCAGTAACCACTTCTCTATATTTATAGGTTTTATTGCAAAAATATTATCTAAGGGCCCAGCATGGTAGCCTAGTGGCTAAAGTCCTCGTCTTGCATGGGCTGGGATCCCATATGGGCGCAAGTTTGTGTCCCAGCAGCTCCACTTCCCATCCAACTCCCTGCTTGTGGCCTGGGAAAGCAGCTGAGGACAGCCCAAAGCCATGTGACCCTGCACTTATGCAGAAGACCTGGAAGAGGCGCCTGGCTCCTGGCTCCTGACTTTAGATCAGCTCAGCTCCAGCCATTGCAGTCACTTGGGGAGTGAATCAGTGGAAAGAAGATCTTCCTCTTTCTCTCCTTCTCTCTGTATATCTGACTTTCCAATAAAAATAAATAAATCTTTTAAATATATAATATGTAAATAAAATCATACAGAATACTTTCACTGTTGTCTTTTAAGTTTTATTTATTTGAAAAAACAGAAAGATCGTCCATCCAGTAACTCACTTTCCAAATACCACTGAAGCCCAGAACTAAATTAAGCCCAAACCAGGAGCCCAGAACTCAATCCAGATCTCCCGTGTAGTCAACAGGGACTCAAGCACTTGACCCACCACGTGCTGCCTCTGAGAGTGTGCATCATCAGGAAGCTGAATCAGAAGCAGAGGATGAACTCATATCCACATGCATATGAGATGTGGGTGTCTTAACTACCAGCACAAACCCATGCTCTGGGATTCCATTTTGCACACCATGTTTCAAGAATACAAGCACAAAGTATCTGCTGGATGAAGAAACTTTAAACTCTTTAACATGATCCTTAGGGCCTTCCATGAAGCATGTTTCTTTTTCAACCTCATCTATCAACTTCACAACGCACTAAACATCTTGGCATATGGCAAGATTGCCTATTCTGATTTTTTTTTCACATTTGCTGTTTAGAGTAGGGGTTCTTTAATACGAATCAGAATCATTTAGATGATTGCATTAATGACAACACAGATTACTGAGCTCTCACTTTCAGAATTTTGGATTCCGAAGGTCCAGGGCAGGGCCAGAGAATCTGCATTTCTGGTTAGCTCCCTGGTGATGTTGATGCTGCTGGTCACAAAATCATGTTTTGAAAATCATGACCTGAGAACACTGTATTACCTACCTCCCCCTCCCCTCGCCTGCCTGACTCCTGACCTTCCAGTTCTCCCTACATGCAGAACACGGTGTTCTGGGCATATTCTGCTTACCCTGTCACATCAACTATTACACAGCCCTGTAATGTTCTAAATGCCTCTCACCCACCCAGAGTGTATCCTAGGCACCAAGTGACACAGAAAAGGCACTCACTTTATGTGATGACTAAGTTCCTGAATTCTGACACTTGAAAACACTCAGCGGAAACAACACCAGGATAGTCATAGGAAATTTAGAAGGAATTGCTCCAAGTGTGTTAGAAATATAAAGATTTCTGCATGACAGATTAAAGAAAAACAATAATAAAGTTCTTAATGTGAAGATTTGCTAGAAAGTTACCATGTTGATTGCAATTCTTTTCACCCAAAACATCTCCCTGAAATAATGGCTGATTACTAAAGTCAAGAATCCAAGCTGACAAGCAACTTCACCCTCAAACTCTGGTTTTGCTTTCCCAGAGCATATTCTTTGTTTTCAGACAATTGCCTCTATCTGCAAGATTAGTGCAGTCAGGACTTCAAACTTCTTCAGAGGATCCCTAGAGCTATCAGATGTTGCCATCAGAAAGGACTTGCCTGCATCAGTCTACAGACCCTTCTAAACTTCAAAATCCTCAGTTCTGGGCCCGGCATGATGGCTCAGTGGATCCTCACCTTGCACTCACAAGGATCCCATATGGGAACCAGTTTGTATCCAGCTGCTCCACTTTGCAACCAGCTCCCTGCCTGTGGCCTGGGAAGCCAGTGGAGGATGGCCCAAGGCCTTGGGTCCCTGCACCTGCGTGGAAGACTCAGAGGAGGCTTCTGGTTCCTGACTTTGGATCAGTTCAGCTTGAGTCATTGCAGCATGTGGGAAGTGAACCAGCAAACAGAAGATCTTTTTACTGTATCTCCTTCTCTTTTTGGATCTAACTTTCCAATAAAAATAGATAAATCTTAAAAAAAAATCCTCAGTTCTTTAGAAACAGAGGACTGCCAGCAAACTCATTTGGCAGCAAAATCTTACCATAACAGATAGATGGCTCTCCTTAGCCTTTATTTATTCTCATTAGCATTAAAATTCATTTTGCATGAATATTAATATTTGATTACAAGATGTTACTCCAGTCCTATGCTCATGTAACAGAATAAATGGTGTTATGTTAGATCTTGTCCTAAAATCTCAACAATTCTGAGTTCTGCCATTTATTTGGTAGGAGAAAGGATAAAAGACTGTCTGCCTGTGTTGAGTGAAATACCTTTCTTAATTTCTTTTGTCCAGTTTATTCCAAATATTTATCTAAATTATACACTCCACTGCTTTATTATTTTGCTTCTGAAAATTTACCTCATTTATTTTCTCTATTTTAGTATCAGATAAATGTGTTGGAAACTTAATATTCCTATTCATGTATAACATTTTCTTTCTAGATCAGTTTATGGGAAATTCTGTATGTTGGGATTCTGTGGTTCATTTCCATCAGATGAATCACCGTCATCCTCATATGAATCATCATCAGAACAACTGAAATTATAGAACTGAAAAAATAAATCTGGCGGGAAATATTATTTTGGACTGCATTCAAAGACTAACGGCACGTTTACAAGCTACTGACAATTGGCAGTCTCAAAGAATCACAGTAGAATGTTTGAAGTTTAAGATGAAAAGGGAATAGAGACAAACAGGAATTACCATTGCAAAGAGCAAAAAAATATCTATTATTTTTAGATGCGAACAAAAAAATGCACACTATCTGTAAAGAAAATACTATTGAGAAGTTTTAAAATTGGGGGGAAGACAGCCATATGTTTTTAGATGGTATATCTGATTTCAATACAAAGAGAAGTCATTCAGGAGAGCTTAAACAAAAAGGGGTTTATTTGATGAAAAATGCTGGAGTTCCTTATCTCCAAGTAGAGACAGAGCAGTAGAGCCAAGGCGGAACCTGGAAAGGTCCAGTGCCCTGTGCAGCTGCTCCATGGGGTCACAGAGGAGTTAACTGCAATGTTCCAGGAAGAATCTAACTGGATTCGTCTGAACTGGTTTTAAACACAGCGTAAGGATGCATGTTGGGATCTGGGAAATGGTGGCGGCAAATCCACTAGTATATCCATTAAATATGAACAGATTCTACATTGTAATATTACAGAGTATTTACCTGTACAGGGCTGGAGCCAAAATATCTGGGTTTGACTTTTGACTTTGCCACTTTATTAAGTGCTTGATCTTGGACAATTTTTTTCAAGTTCTTTATCTTTCAGTCTCCTCACCTTAAAATGAGAATGATAACAAATCATTACATGGATTAAAGGAACAATAGAAATAAGTAGGCAGTAAAAGCTACATGTTTGTTACTTTCATAAATATGAAATGACAATTTCTCCTAAATCATTCTATAAGGTTAATAGGATCCCAGGCATCAGAGGAAGTTCAAATTTACTACGGGTAGAATAATGCATCTTTGCTGAGGAGGAAGGGCAATAAGGGCAGGAGCACTGGGACTGATAAGTTCTTGGTAATGTTAAAGGCTAGGGTGGATTTCAGAGGATCGTGTTTTTTAAACCTTCCTATACTGCAAAATTGTGTCAACTATAGTCTAACAAGACATTCTTAAAGAAAACTATTAGAAAGGAATTTCACCTCATCAGATGGAAGATCTGTCTCTCCTCCTCTCTGTATATCTGACTTTCCAATAAAAATAAATCTTAAAAACAAAACAGAGCAAGCATTTAGCTGGGCAGTTCAAGTGCCTCTGTCCCACAGCAGAGTTCTTGGATTTGATTCCCAGCTCCAGGGCCTGATCGATGCAGACCCCGCAGAGGCAGTTGTGATGGCTGAAGCAACCGGGTTCCTGCCACCCCTGGGAGAGAGCTGGACTGCCTTCCTTCCAGTCATTTCTTCCCACTGGGCTGTTCTGGGATCAAAGGCAGAGCACAAGCAGATGGGAAATCTGTCTCTTAAATACAATCGAAAATTTTAAGAAATAAGAGGAGAAAATACTTCAGAAGAAATCGGTATTTCCAACACATGAAAAGCAGGCAATGTGGCACAGTGTGTTGGACCACCACTTGGACTGCCTATCTCAGCTACTCCACACTGTTGATCCAGCTGCCTGCTAAGGTGCTTGGGCCCCTGGCACACATGTCGGAGTATGGGACAGAGTTCCTGACTCCTGACTCCAGTCTGGCATTTCCAGCACTCTGGAGTGAACTGGAGAACAAAAGATCTGTCACTTTCAAATGAATACACCATCGTTTCTTAAAACATCTCAAAAAAAAAAAAAGAAGTCTGATTAAAATAAAAACGAGTTAGCAACCCATAAAAGTAGGGCTAACAAATAAGCATATTAAGGATGTTCAGTTTTACGCTTAGTTAAAAAATACGAATTACAACAAGCTTCTCCTATTTTTGAAAGAGGTGATAAAGATAACAGAAATCTGACAATACCCAAATTAGCAGGGCAATGCAGACACCACTCTGCACTTGCACGTTCTGTTGCTGGCAAAGTACTAAACACATTTCTAAGAAGCCTGGTGACATCATTCACCATCTCTCAAACGTGCACTCCCCTTTGGTCCAGTCCCTACACTTCCATGAAGTCATGCTACAGCATTCACTAGAGGTGTACAGATTTTTGCATCACTACTTTCATGCTTGCAGACGTGACGACTGGAAATGCTTGTAGTCAAGCCATTCGGGATTTCACTGAACAAGTTATATAATGCCATTAAAAATTATTATGCAACTTGTTTTAATGTAGTTTAAACGTAGTTTAAAGAACAAGCTCATATTTTTCTCGTTAAGCAACAACACCTTTACACGTGTGAGCGTACGCTGAATTTATAGAGCAAGATTATCTCTGGTTTGTGAGACTGCTGTTACATCCGTTTGTGTACTACTTGACTATCATAATTCCTGCGGCAGGAGCAGGCATTAAAATAACAATAACAATAACAAAGGCAGTATTCTCGCCTCAGGAAGTACAAAGAGAACCGGGCTGGGGCCACCACGGCTCCGGAGGCGCAGCGGCGAGGGGAGGGCAGAGCGCCGGGCTGGAGCCGAACGCGCCTCGCCGCGCGGCCTTCTGGGAAACGCCTCCCCCTTCCTGTTGGAGACGCGTCCCGCCCCTGAGGCAGCCTCGCGACGTTTTTACTCTCACAGGAGCTGCGGGGAGGCCGACGCAGCACCTTCTCCCAAACCGCGAACCGCATTCTCCGCCGCTGCCCGCTCGCTCGCTCTCACCCAGGCGCCCCCGGCACGGAGAGCTTCTGAGGGGGACGACTGGCGGGAAGGCAGCGCGCGCGGGCTGCCGTATTCCGCGAGCGTATAGGCGAGGCACGCTCCGATTGGCCGGCAGCTCGGTGGGCGTGCGCGTGCGCACATGCGTCCTGGCGCCGGCGCGCTTCCGCCCTTTGCGGGTGCGTGGAGTGGGCGCAGTCTGGCAAGGGAAGCGCGCGGGAAGCTTGGGGCACGCGAGTGTGACATGTTTGCTCCAAGGGCAGAGACGGAGGAGAGAGGAGCGAGACAAAGGGAGGAAGTTCTGGTCAGCCGCTGCCAGCCCAGGGATGCGGAGGAGAGATCAGCTGGCTAGAAGTGCCTAGAAAGTTGAGACCTTCCGCATGACTTGCCATCCAGAGACTGATAGGAGATGCAGGAACCCACTTCCATCCTTCCTTTTGGGGGGTCACAGCTCCGGCTAATTGGAAATCAGGCCGACCCAAACTGTGTTTGGGCTGAGGTTGATGAAGTTTTAGAATGGTTAGCCTTAAAAATTAATGGTCGTTGGGTTTGAGTTGGCAAAAAAAAAGACACTGGGGAAGAAGTATTCCTGTTTTTTCTTAAATGATGTTAAATTACATATGTATATATAAAGGCAAATTTTAGGTCTTCCATCTGATAGTTCACTCCCCAAATGGCAGCAATGGCTGGGGCTGAGTGGATCTGAAGCCAGGAGCCAGGAGCTGCTTCTGGGTCTCCCACGTGGTGCAGTGTTCCATGGCTTTGGGCCATGCTCTGCTGCTTTCTGAGTCCATAAACAGGGAACCGGAAGGGGAGTAGAGCCACTGGGATACAAACCGGCACCCATAGGGGATGCCAAAGATGGAGACTTAACTTGCTATGCCACTGTTTGGGGTTCTCATGTTGAATCTGTTGTTTTGGGATATTGGGGACAATTTGTAGGTGGTGTAAATTCATCCTGTTCCCTTTGGCTAACCATATAACCTTATGATTAATCAGCATTGCTGTAGAAGTCCAGTGTTCTGGCTGCCAGAGAATGGGGCAAGAAACAAAGTATTGGGAAGGCAACACTTCCACTGGGCCTTCAAAACTGCCTAATACTTCCTGGCCAGAGAGTTCTAGACCAACTGACAGGGCTATTCAAAACAAAAGTTAAAGAGTATGTCTTCTTGGGCCCAGGGTGGTGGTCTAGCAGCTGAATGTGTCAGGATCCCATATGGGTGCCAGTTCTAATCCCGGCAGGCCTGCTTCCCATCCAGCTCCCTGCTTGTGGCCTGGGAAAGCAGTCGAGGATGGCCCAAAGCTGTGGGACCCTGCACCTGCATGGGAGACCTGGAGGAGGTTCCTGGCTCCTGGTTTCGGATCAGCACAGCACCAGCCATTGCAGTCACTTGGGGAGTGAATCATAGAACAGAAGATCTTCCTCTTTTTCTCTCCTCCTCTGTGTATATCTGGCTTTGCAATAATAAATCTTAAAAAAAAAAAAAGTATGTCATCTGAAGAGTTCTTCAAGCTGAAATACTTGTTTGGCTTAACACAAGTAATGTAACTGTTGCAGACTTCATGGTAAATTATATTGGCCACAACTTATTTTCATTTTTAAATTCTTGGACTTGTTGATACTAAAAAGTTTTTTCCTATTTTCCTCTCAGAATTTTGTTTTAAAAGAATTGAAAAATTACCCCCCCCCAAAAAAAGGTATATTTCAATGTGATTACATGCTACATATATTTCAAGTAAAAGTTCAAAAATGTTTAGGTATTTAGGCGTATTAGAAAATACCGATAGGGCCCAGCGCAATGGCCTAGTGACTAAATCCTTGCCTTGCAATTACCGGGATTCCATATGGGTGCCAGTTCATGTTCTGACTGCTCTACTTCCTTTGTAGCTCCCTGCTCATAGCCTGGGAAAGCAGTAGGCGACAGCCCAAGGCCTTGGGACCCTGCACCCACATGGGAGACTCGGAAGAAGCTCCTGCCTCCTGGCTTCAGATCAGCTCAGCTCCAGTCATTGTGACCACTTGGGAAGTGAACCAGTGGATGGACGATCTTTCTGTCTCTCTGTAAATCTGCCTTTCCAATAAAAAGAAATATTAAAGATTTATTTTTATTTCAAAGTCAGATATACAAAGAGGAGAGACAGAAAGGTCTTCCATCCGTTGATTCACTCCCCAAGTGACAGCAATGGCCGGTGTTGCACTGATCCGAAACCAGGAGCCAGGAGCTCCCACTCAGATGCAGGGTACCAAGACTTTCCTCAACTGCTTTTCCAGGCCACAAGCAGGGAGCTGGATGGGAAGTGGAGCATCTGGGATTAGAACCGGTGCCCATATGGGATCCCGGCGCGTTCAAGGCGAGGACTTTAGCTGCTAGGCCATCGTGCTGGGCCAAGAAAGATATATTAAAAAAGAAAGACAATACCAATAAACAGAACAACAGGAAGTCTTCATGAATGTCACTGTTCAGAGTTGACTTTTGGTTGTTTTTTTTCCTGTCATATGTTTGTCTTAGAAATGCAGAATATTGTCTATGGCCATACCATCCTGAAAACACCCGATTTCATCTAATCTTGGAAAAATGCAGAATATTTAAACATAGTCTAGAGGAACACCAACCTATGTCTTTTTGGCAGAGCCATGCCAGGCTTCTGCTTAGATATTTAGTATTGTTTGCTTTATTATGAAATGAATATGCATTATTTTCTAATTACAAAAACACCAAAGGTATTGAAATATGTTATGAATATATCTGTAACTTAAATATTTTAGAACTGCAGCAACAGTGACTTTAAAAGAATTCATTATTTTGAGAGTTAACGTAATACAAAGTGTTAGCCTGAGGAGAGCATAATGCTGGCCTACATGCTGAGCCTGCTGACCACCCCTTTGTGGAGTTACTAGCTTATCTCAAACCAGCACCCCGTGTCTGAACACACTCTGCCAAAGCTGAAGCCACTGCCTTATCTCCCGGTGCAGACCCTGACACCCGCTGCTTTACCTGTTGTCCCCACATCCAAGCGCTGCATACCTTACATGGCCATTGCCCTCACACAGTGACCACTGTGTGGAAGTGCTTCCAGGTTCTCCCACCAGGGACTGGTCCCTCAGGTTCTCTCTTGACACTAACCTCTTTGCCAAGAGCCTCTCAGTGTCTGCTTGCCTCCAAACCTAACACAAAGTAGGTTTTGATTTAACATGACAGATGAAATGTTTTCCTAGGAAAGCATGTTGAAATGAGAGATTGAAAACTAAAAGGAACTAAGGAATTGGGAATGCGGCATTAGTGGATGAGGGATGTTAGCATGTTCTTATTGGGAAGAAAGGGGATCTAAACTGAATGGAGAGGGGAGCGCCAACTAGAAACAATAGTTCAGAACACCAGAAAGGTTGTGAGGATGGGAGACACTTCATCAGCGGAGGGCATGGAAAGGAAACCAGAGATTTGAAACGCAATACACAGTAGACTTTATAGATTTCTGGGTCCAGGTCACTAAGCCTAGGCTAAGTAACCAAGAGAGAGAAGGCTTATTTGGTACAGAATTTGAACTAGAGACTCCATATTCAGAAACTCCAGGCACACAGATGAAGTCTGTATGAAATAACAAAGCAATCCCCTACCCCTTTTTCTATTGTTTGCTGTCAGAATGCTGACAGCCAAGTGTGTACACCAAGCAAAAGACTGTTTAGATAAAAGACCTTGTTTTCTTTCAAAGTTTTATTTATTTGAACATTAGAGAGGTCTTCCATCTGGGCAAGCTGAAGCCAGGAGTTTCTTCTGAGTCCCTGACATGGGTGGCGGGGACCCAAGCATCTTCCACTGCCTTCCCAGGCCACCAGCAGGGAGCTAGATTGAAAGTGGAGGAGCTGGAACACAAAGCAGTGCCCATATAGGATGCTAGCATCACAAAAGGCAGCTTGACTGGTAATACTAAGAGTGGCTCCAAAAAAAAGCCTCTTGGGAAATACCTGAGCTAACACTTTGGGGTACTCCCAACAGAATGGCCTGCTCTTTGCACTCCTCCTTCATTTTACAGTGAAGTCTCTTCATTGGTAAATTCTGCGCTCATAAACAGTTAATCCTGTGCATTCTCTCTCTTTTTTTTTTTTAAAGATTTATTCATTTTCATTACAAAGCTAGATATACAGAGAGGAGGAGAGACAGAGAGGAAGATCTTCAGTCCGATGATTCACTCCCTAAGTGAGCACAAGGGCCGATGCTATACCAATCCAAAGCCAGGAGCCAGTAACTTCTTCCGGGTATCCCACATGAGTGCAGGGTCTCAAAGCTTTGGGCTGTCCTCAACTGCTTTCCCAGACCACAAGCAGGGAGCTGGATGGGAAGTGGAGCTGCTGGGATTAGAACCAGTGCCCATATGGGATCCCAGGTGTGCAAGGCGAGGACTTTAGCCACTAGGCCACGCCGCCAGGCCCATGTGCATTCTCTCTTGCTCTCTCTCTTAGGGCCTTATCCTGGGAAACTCAGGAGCAAGAAACCTTGCCCTTGGCCCTCTGCCAACTCTGAAGATGGCTCAATCACCTCAGGGTCATCCTTCCCTTTTATATATGGATAAAGCATATTAACAGCTGAATAATATGCTTTTGCTTTCTCTAGTTTCAGCCATCTGACTTTGCTCTAAAAATATTAAATGGAATATTCCAAAGGTAAACAGTTGATAAATCTTCAGTTGTACCTGCCCTTAGCAGTGTGATAAGCTCATACCACTCTACTCCATCCGAGCAAGAACGTGAATCAACATATCCACCTGCCACATGCCTGTCAGTCACATAATAGATTCTCAGATTGACAGCTGGGTAGCGCAGTCAGTCCTTAGGTTTAATTTATCCTTGCACTACTTGGTAATGGTCTCAAAGCCCAAGAATAATGATGTGAGCAATTCAGATCACACCAACAAGAAGCGGTACAGTATCCATTTGAGGGAAAAGGTGAAAATTCTTGACCTAAGGGGGAAGAAAAACTTAATGCTGAGGTTGCATAGACCTACAGTTAGAAAAACTAGTCTTGTGTGAGGCTGCGTCTTTTATGAAACTGTGAAGATGGGAAAAAGTTTGTGCTATATATG